GATCCTTGTCCCCAGTTAACGTCACTGCCTCAAGACAGACCAGGTTATACAGTATTGAAATAATCCTTCTGCAACAGGAAGAGCATTTTTTGCGAATCCCCGTGTTTAGGTTCCAGTTACCCTTCAGAAATGCCCAAACACCGATCCATTCAATTTACCCATCAGATCTGATTTTTGTGTTACTTTGTGTATGTTTGTATCCGGGGAAAGTCTCAAGCAGCCTCAACAGGGGTTGGGATAGAACACTCTTACTCTCCTTCCAGGTTTGAAAGGGTAACACTTTATGACTTGTGCCAAAAACCTGTGCATGGAATTGCATCAAAGGGCTTTTCATTTCACAAGGAGATGAGCCTAAGGCTCTTTTACTGTAGCCTTGTCATCTCTGGGCAACACAGTGCACCGACAAGCTGCAGTTAAGGCATTGCTTGATTGTTCAAGGACTCTGCACTACCGCACACAAAGACCAGAGACGAGTGCCTTTAACACTCCCTGCCATGCAACCTGTCCATGTGCCAATCCCCTGCATCACTTCTCATGACTTTCCATCAGAGGAAAGCTGGGAAGGGGAAAGGAGGACAGGGACTTTATCCTGGAATCACTTATCTGTGGATGGATTTAGGAAGTGCAGCACTTATTATTTGTCTGATGTGTAAAATCTGTGAATCTTCCTTCCTTTGCTTGCATATCATAGTAGGGATTGTCATTTATAGCTCGCATTAGGATTTGTCTGGCACGATGCTGAGGACATGCTGTTTGGCTCCCCTGCTGAAAAGCCAGTCTCTCCCTGTCTTTCTTATAATAACGCCCCACACTGGCAAGGACTTCCTGTCAGTCTGGTGTCACACCCACCCCTTTTCATCCTGGGCGAATGAAAATTTCTTACATGTAATCCTGCCAGGATCACCTCTTCATGTCTCGTCGTATTGAATGGTGACATAGCTCCAACAAAAAATCTTTTTGTGATGTTCTTTTAACTTTCAACAACGCACGCCTTTCTCTTGCCTTTAGTGGTAAGAAAAGCAAGATTTCAACAGGCATCAGAAAAATCGAGAAATGCCGTTAATGCAAGTCCACAATAGTTACCGGTCTTAAAAAATGGGCCTTTACGCGAACATGTGAAACCCAACGCAAATTTACAAAAAAACAGGTTTCAGAACTACGTTGTTCCCTTTGTCTAGCTTGTATTCTCCATGTCTCAAACCTGATCTCATCCAACCCTACTGAAGCGAAGAGACTCCAGGACTAGGAGCTTGGGATAATACAAACTCATCCCCACCCCAGCCCCTTCCCCTTCCCCACTCACAGCTGTGTATTAACTCAAAGCAAGGTGTTTCATTCAGCTGCCTGCTGTGCGGAGCTCAATCCACTTGAGGAAATGACAGAAAATACCGAGAGAGCCAGGAGAGGATCAGCACTGGGGAGGGGCTGTGTTTTCCTATTTCATTATCCTCCTTCACTGGAGTCCATGTGCTCCCAGCATCGCGTGCCGAATCCCTGCGCTCAGTCCTTATAAACCAATGCGCGCCCGACTAAAGCAGGGCTCTGGCACCTGCCCTGCTGCCTCTCCCTCTGATACAGGCCAGCTGCAGTAAATCCCAAAGAGACTGCCTTTCACTTGCGAGCCCGGCGCTGTGATTGGCTCAGGGATGGCCGGCGTGTGGGTGTTTATCGCCACCTCCCCGCGGACACGCCAGCACTCTGCTTGAAGCGCTCAGCCGGGGAGCGGGAGGAAATCGGCACCTCTAAAGCTGTCGCCAGGCTCCGAACCCCCACGCCTCTTCGCTGCCCCAGCGCACGCCACACGCCCCAAAATGCGGAGGCTGTTGGAGAGCAGCTGGATGAAGTTCGGACCAGCTGGCAGAGGAACCTATGACTGGGTGACTGGGGCGCCGCCCACTTCCATAGAGAAACAATTACAGGTGAGTTCACCAGGGCCAGCTACTGTATCTGCCAGCACGCAGCAGCAGGATCTGCCAGATGTCTCACACTGTTACAGCTCACTACTAGGAAGGTTCTTAATTTCGACTGAAACGTGAATCGGAACATGGTAAGAATACTTTTGCATATACCTTACCACCTGAAAGACTTTTCAAAAACTACATTAAGATTTAAGCAGATTATTTCAGGAAGTTTAAAAAAGTCATTGATGCTTTTTTCAGTCATTCAATATCCTTAAGCCTTCTTTTTTGCTGTTCTTACTTCTCTCTCTTTCACCTACACCTGCTTGTTTTTTCCAGAGGTTGACGTGTCAGTACATGAACTCTTCTTCGTGTATTTTTGATGCTGCGCAATTCAGACAGGCCAGTCGGAGACAGCATGGTTTTAGTTTGCTTTGTGACTAAGAGACAGCTCATGGCGACAGCTCATCTATAAGACTGTTCATGAGAGAGGGGTGTCGCAGGTGCTTTGGTAGGGTGTAAGGGTGCTCTTTCAGCATTTCATATTGGCGGTAAGAGCAGACGTTTATCAGGTTTTTGCATCAGGGAGCAATGCCGTGCAAGTGACGATATTAGCATGTTAATTCTGCTGACCAACAAAAAAAACATCACTGCATCCCATAAACCGAGTCTTAACTTTGAAACAAAAATTTTGACTCTTGGGTTTATGATTAAAATACAGTGAAGTGTTTCTGTTAAACTATTTATTATCGTTTACATGCTGCTGGACTTTCCCAACAATAAAACACTATATATTAAATATATATAATATAAATATTAAATGAAGAGAGTCAAAATATCGAGAGAGTCAGGAGATCTGCACTGGGAAGTCATGCTGTATTCACACTAAATAGACAGACACGGACTCTTTAAAGGATCTTAAAGGAAGATTGTAGTAACACAAGAGACTTGTTCTTTACAGATCTGGAACACAGGGTGGTCATTTGTTCAGTTAAGGCAGCTCTGGTCCTTGAGGGCTGATTTTTGTATAAAATAATCTCTGCGTAAGTTAAGTCGTCCCAGGTTTTTGAGAAATTAAAGATCCCGACCTCTAAAGCCAGCTGTATGGGGATATGCCAGGAATCTGTAATAATGACACATGTAAAAATATTTCCAGTTGATGTTAACATGTTATGTTGTACCAAAGTCAAGGCAGAGAGAAATTCTGAACTTTGCCTGAAGTTGTATGTTACAGTAGACTTCACCATTGTAACCTGCTGATGCCCTTATATGGTTAAAAGTAAGCACAATCCATTGATGTGTTACACTTACTTTGGGTCCTCTTGAATGCTCTCTGACTGCAGTTGTACATTGGGTCTCCTAATGCACGACACAGCCAAAGCTTAAAAGACATCGATTTTTCTCCTCAAAATTAGCCAGCCAACTACTACTGGCAGGTTAGATATGTTACATTCTTAAGATCCAACTTATTCTGTTGACAGTGTTACGGATTTCTTCGGAGCACAAAGACAAAAAGAAAACAAATACTTAATCACTAAGGGCTGGCGGATATTATTTGGCTGAAGCTGCTGTAATAAGAATAAATAAGCAGAGCTTCAATGGTGTTTCTTAAAGAGAATCTGCATGTGTAGTTCACACCAGGGGCACAGAGCTGGGGCTAGGCAGTGCACAGCCGTTCCAATCCAATCGCATTTAATGACTGAGAAAGAGCATTATATGATTTCTACAGAGGCTGGCAGATGCATCTGTCAGCTATTTTAATTAACTGTTGCTTGCTAATATAATAGTTCTTCTTGAGTGAAAACAGTGCTCATATCAGCAGCTCTAGGATTGTGGGTTGAAATCCCAGCTGGGGCACTGCAGTGGTCAAAGGGACAAATGGCTCATTAAGACAGACACAAACACAAAACACATCTAGAAGCAGGGCCCCGGGGAACCTGCAGGGCCTGACGCTGAAGGTCACACACAACAGTGAGGCTCATAGCCTGGGTGCAGAACCATTTTGCTCCACGTGGCGATTGGCAACACGAACGTGTGCGATTATTTAGAATGGCCTTCTCGCTTTCCTAATCTTTTGAGAAATCCTCCTGTACTAACAGACACTTAAAGAGCACAAAGTTTACTGCATTCTTTTTTTCCCCTACAGAGTTATCACTGGAATGAACTGAACTCAGTCAACGACCCTGAGCCCGAGGCTGTATTCTACATCATCCTCCCCACAGCCTCCCTTCTCTGCATCGGCATCCTGGCTTTCCTGGTGTACAAGAGATACTCCCGCGGCAAACTGAGCTCAGCCAACGTCATCACACTGGACTTCCAGGATGCCGAAAGTAACGCCGAGATCCTCTCCTCCCTGACCTGGGACGCAGAACAGTTTCCCACCCCCAGCTCCGACCTTTCGGACGGCGTTTTCCTGATGGTGTACCTGCCGCCCCCCTACGAGGAGACCCTGACCAAGATCACGCGGGCCGCGAGCTCCTCCAGCTCTCGCGACGCGGACACGGCCAGCCGCGCCAGCGCCGAGGAGGGGGGGGCGACATCCTAGCGGGGGTCTGCTGGAGGGAACCACAGACTTTGAACGACAGGCGCAACGACCAAGGGCCACACCCACCTCTTCGACACCCACCGGACCTGCGTGGCTGCTCAGGCGCTGCGGATTTGGGCCAGGAAAGCTTCTCAACGAGAGATCTGAGAAATCCACAGCTCTGAATTCTCCTGCTTGCTCATTACAAGCCATGTCAAGGAACAGATCTCCTATCTGAAAGCCTTGCAGGCAACTCCAGTTACTTTAGCCTGACCTAGGGGCAAAATACTACTCATGACCAAATTGTGAATTCTTTGCAGGAAGTACTTTTTGATTGTCAGGTCCCTGCATACAACTATTTGAATGACTAGGTCGCTATAAAATGTTATATGCATTAGGTAATTTAGGTTAGTTAAATTAATAGACACACTGCATATATAACATGTAATCAGTAGTAATACTCACACGTCAAATGATTATCTTAGTTCCATAGCTACCCTCAGTATACCAACATAAAGCTTTCCAGTGTTATCACACTCAGAAAGAGAAGTATGTTTTTACAAAGAGACACACTGGTATTCAAGTTTAAATAAACTTTATTATTGTGAGATACTCCTCATTAGGTGTGTGTATATATATAGACAAAATCCTCTTCAAAAATCCTTTACAACCACCGGTCACAGGTTCTAACAGCACACAGGTGCAAGGAATCTCTGAAAGGTTACCTGTTGTCCACAGGGCAGCACGTGCTAGACACACCATCAACATAACAGCCCAGGGACTGGTGTGAGCAACACAACTGACCCACCCTGCTGCACAGCAGCACTTAACACAGGAGTCGCTGGCGTACTCGTCACCAGCAGAAAGGTGGAACTAAGATCTAATTACGTGTTAAAAACGTATGGTATCAAACCACACTGACTGCATCAAAATGACATACAAACTGAAAAGGCTGCCAGCAGAAGGCACTCTTTTGGCTGAGCTTTCTTTCAGTGCTTTGGCTTCTCTCTTCCAGTGCTATTCCTTTTGTATTTATACTGTACTTTAAAAACGATATATGTAATATACTGTCTGTGTGTATGTTCGTTTCTGGTCTATGTTTATATCTACTGTAATATAAATATGGTTTTTAATAAAATAAGATTTTCCTCACTGTAAACCATGTTGCAATGCATCTCCTCTATACTGTAGTATTTCTAACCTCAGCAGTAATGCACAAGCCGTCAGCTCTCCCTGAAGCATGATCTCTGCTGACCTCAGACAGCACAGCTGGGGTCTGATAGAGAGCCAGTGGTGATCCTGCAGCTGTTGAGCTAATAAGTAGCGCTCTTCCTCCTTCACTAGAAATCACAAATCAGCGCCGCCCCATGAAGACAGCAGGGTGCTGTTCTGCAGGGGGTCCCAGCTTTCAGGTGAGAACTGTCTGCCAGTACACTCTTACGGCAGTCAGTCACAAGCCACTTTCCAGAGACGTGATCGTGTTAACATTAGGATTCTGAGTTGTTTCTTTCTTTCAAATAAAACGATACAATCGAAAACACAAAAGAATATCTGAACGTATCTCAGCAGTACTGTTTTACGTGCAAAGGAACAAATAATAGGTTTATTCCATGCTGAAAAGAAGAAGAAAGAGAACACAACGTTTCGGCCATGGAGCCTCTTCAGGTGTGAGGGCACTGTTTGGCACTTTGGCAAAAACTGTTTGGCACTGTTTTTTACGTGTCAAAGACCTTTTCAGAAGAACAATGTCAATCATGGACAAGAGTGTCACCTAGTGGTAGAATAATATATTCAAATTCTGACTAATTTCCCATGAGGATCTACAGGTACACCACTCTTTCTTTTCCAAAATATGAAGAAGAAATATAAAACATTGGGTTATAAACACATTATCCTTTCATGTCACCCACTGTCTTTTACAGAACCCCCTGATCTCGTACTACTGAGCAGCAATTTACTGCCACAGGACTTGGATTTATGGTCACAGAATTGTCTTTTTATTTTTAAACATCGCCCTTCAAATTTAGAAGGAAAACACATCACTTAAAACCCGACAATAAAACAGCCCAAAAAAGTTAAGAAATTGTTCCCCTGAAATGGATTTAATACCACATGCTTTGTCTCACGATTGACGTCTGCGGACACAATATAAATAAATTTTGCCGAACATTAGTGGCAGATGGACCTCACGTCTCCATGCGGCTCTTGTGCTTGTTGAGGACCAGGAACTGCTCTCCGGGCAGTGCGAGAGGGGTGGGGGCCAGGTCAGGAGCTGCGCCTGTCCTCGCCGTTCTGCTTCCGGGTCGGGTCCAGGCTCGTGCCTTCGTACATGACCTTGTTCTTCATGCCATCCTGGATGAGCCTCTGCTGTACACGAAGCTTCGCGTTGCTGTACCTGCAGTAGAACCTTTACAGGCCCAGAGCAACAGTCAGCCGCCTCTTCAGCAGGCACTTTCTAACAGCAGTAGTAATACCTGGCCTTAACACTGCTATAATACTTCTCCGTACTTGTAGAGCATGTTCCATCCCAGAATGCTTTAACACAGGAGGTGCACCCAAGTGCTGCTTCCACTTTAGAGGCAGATCAGGTGGAGATGAGAGAAGCTCAATTAAAGGAGAATTGTAGGGAGGCCCTGAAACTGGATGTGTTTATAACCCATAAACTGTTATAACAGTTACGACATGCTCAATTAATAACAGTTTAAAGCTAAATTAGTATGTGTAATTAGTATGTAAATGAATATGGATGCGGTGTACAATATGCAAGACTACAATGTGATAATACATCTCGTTAACTGCACACGGTCCAGTATTCATTAAACTGTACACCTCAGCAGCTTGCGACATAGTATATCCTGAATATTTCTGAAACATTCAAAAACCTTTCTTTCCATTACTATCTAAAAAACGATATTCTTTACATTCATTTGTTATTTCAATTACCTGCTTTCACTCATGATATGAATGTGTTTGGACACTGAATTTTACCAGTAATAATAATAATAATAAAAACTTTATTTTATATAGCGCATTTAAAGGTAGTGTCTCAAAAAGAGCTTCACAAAATCACAACAATAAAAATAATAATAACAGTAATACCAAGTCATTGTCAGAAAGGCCCTGGGTTCAAGTGAAACAAAGCACACTCACTCACTCACCAAGATCCCAGAGTTATCAGCATGAAGCCAGCTACGCCAATGTCAAAGGATCTCCTGACTCTGCCTGCAAAGGAAAGCCAAGGAATTTTAAAGGGGGGAAATACCTCAGTAGTATTTTTAGTGCTTGAAACAGGATATGAATCCAATCCAACCAATAAGGAATTTCACCGACATCTTCACGATTTGACAGTATCAAAGCTGAAGTGACTGATGTGCACCGGTGCCTAAAGAGTTCATTGTGGACTGTTGATGGACGGACGGACCCGTCCATCAACCTTGAAGCAAGGTAACAAACTCGAGCGCCGGGCGCAGGAGTACAGCCTGCAGCTGGAGTTTCTGTTTACTTCACCACTCGGGCTGCTTGTCCACCCGGAAGAAGTAACAGTTTAGCACAGCGGGTTGCTATTCTGAGGAACACGATTCACATCCCGATCAGAAGAAGTAACAGAAGAAAAGGCTTACTTGTTGCTAAAAAGTGGGACAATCCAGAGAAGAGTGAGCCGACTGAGCCATGCAGGACTGCTTCCCGAGCACACGGAGTGTTCTGGATGTCCAGGATCCCCAGGAGCTTGAAGGACTGCCGGGAGAGGGAGGGAACAGTATGGGAATCCTTGGGAATAGCCAGGAGTGAGCTGAGACCGAGACGTTCAGTCTCGGCACCTAACCGTGCACAAATCCCCATCTGCCACCACAGAAAGCATCATGGGATTACTCGGGTTCTCCAATAACAACTCATCAATAAACCATAACAAGCAACAACAAAGTTAGCTAACCCATAACCAGACAGAGGCAGTTTTAATTACTTAATTACTTAGTTTACTGAATCTACCGAGTATACAGAATCTGGTAGACATATATTACATCAGGATAATATATATATATACGATTACGATAAGCATATAGTGGCGCCATTAAGAGAAACGCGCAGTAAAAATGGTATTTCAATAATCGTGTAAAAAAAGGTTTAACAGTGGGAAATTAGAAAACACAATTCTACCTTCCTAAGCAAGTTAGCCCTAACCTTGGCAGCTGTTAAATCAAGCTGGCCCTTAAGCATGGGAATTGTCAAATAATTCAGACTTACTTTTTGTTTTTCTTTCTCTCCCTCACCTGCCATAGTTTTATTTTTCTGCGCGAATTTCTGTTACTTTTCTCTCTTGTCCTCTTTCATAACCTCCACTCACACGAATATACCGCAGCGGTCCGTCAGTCAATATCAACCGGGTTTGACGTTATCTGCGGTCATACAGTTCCTCCCTTTTCGATGCTATCGCAAATTCCAACGTATTTAAAGAATCAGAACAACAACTATATTGTTGTTGTTGTTGTTGTTGTTGTTGTTGTTGTTGTTGTTAAAAATAACACATTGGAGTTTTAAGAGTTGCAACTGCAGTATTGTGTGGAATGTTTTGTTCGGAAATCCGACTCTAAAACGCTCTACTCGCCTTCAAAAGGCAGTCAGTCCATTAATCAGT